GCCTGGAAATCTGAGGAAATTTGTCCTCAATTCTCCCTGGTCAACGAGGTTAAGCGTAAGGACTGCACGGTGTCCAGGCTTCCCCACGCAAGCCCCACACAGTGAGCTGACTCCGATATGCGGACAGCAAATAGAGCCCCGTGCAGCTCCCCAGCACGGGAGGTCTCACTGTGGCAACTCTTGGCCCTTGAAACATCATCTCGTGTCTTTTAAGGGATCCCCCTCACTCACCCCAAGTTTAATGGGTAAGCAGCACATTCGGTCACAGGTTCCTTGGCTAGAAGCAGTGAGGGATTCCCATAAATGAGGTCTAACGGGCGGCCTTGTTACAGCCAGCCCTGCAAGGGGAAAACAGTGCAGAACACAGGGCCCTGGCTAACATCAAAAGCTACCAAGTGGCAAGAGGGGGATTTGAACCCAGACCTGAAGAGCCCCTGTGTGCTGCATGGGACAAAGGACAAGTTTCAGACAGCAGATGTGGTTTTGGTGACAAAAGGAGCCACATATGGTAGTGAGGCTTGGGGAAATTAGCCGGGTTTTTTGTTTATTAGGTTTGGGGTTTACTTTTACTTTTTTTTTTTTTGGTCTGTTTCATTCTAGGAAAGCAAGAGAAACATGGAAACGCAAGCCACCCCCTGCCAGACTTCCTGTGGGGGAGGTGGGAGGCCCCTGCCAGCTCCACTCCCTGGACAGGAAAGGGCTTTGGAGCTTCCAAACAAAAAGCGCCGCAGGACCCAAGAGGCTAGAGAAGTTGCATGCTACAGCAGGTCCCCCACCCTCATCATCCCTGCGTGTGCACCCCAGAAATCGAGTCTCTTAGTGGTCCCGGGGCGTCCTGGTGGCATCATGGGAATGCACTCAGCTACGAACTACAAGGTCAGCAGTGGGAGTCTACCAGTCGCTGCAAGAGAGACAGACCTACTCCCGCAGCGAGTGCCAATCTTGGAAATCCACAGGGGCAGTTCTACCCTGTCCTGTAGGGTCACTATGAGTCGGAACCAACTCAATGGCAGCGAGTTTGAGTTTTTGAGTGGCCCCACTCCATTTTGGGGGGGCCTGGAGAGACTGCCTCACACTGGGGACTCCCGGCAGGACCTGACCAAGAGGTATGGCCAAAGGTGCGATGTGACGGTTCTATACTGACCCAGTGGCTGCGGCACAGTCCTTGTGGGACCAGGCCGTGCTTCCTTCTGTGGTGCACTGGGTCTCCACGACCCACAGGGCCCTGCAACATGGGGATTACTTTCACCCCTGCTCCGATGGCCAGCCCCCGACCTGTCGGTCCTTGTGTTTTATTCTCCACCTGCCCTTACTCCCACTAAGAGACTTCCAAGCTGATTTCTAATTACTGGTGGGGCCGAGATACCTATGCTTCTAGCTCAGTGGTTCTCAACCTTCCTAATACTGCCACCCTTTCATACAGTTCCTCATATTGTAGTGACCACCCCCAAACCATAAAATTATTTTCGTTGCTACTTCATCAGTCATTTTAATACTGTTATGAATCGAGCGACCCCTGTGAAACATTCATTCGACCCCCAAAGGGGTTGCAACCCACAGGTTGAGAACCGCTGCTCTAGCTCACCACTTTCCCAACCACACCCAAAGAATTAACCAAAACACAGAAAAACAACATTACGAGAACAGTATCATAATTGTAAATCACTTTTGAGAACAGTTAGCCTTTTGGCCAGATGCCCTGCTGCCAGGCTCGGCGGCGAAAGGCCTCTGGGGTGATTTCACACTGCAGTGCACCCTGCTCACACAGCCTCCCTCCAATGCGTAAGGCTGGCCCGGGGGCCTGAATTGCTCAAGGGCCGGTGCCGGAGAGCAAATGCTGGTGCTAGTCCTTGCTTCTTGCACCAGTTGGGGTCAAGACCCCAGGCACAAAGAGGTGGGATGCTGTGGCCCTGTCCTAAGGAGGGGCTGCTCACAAGCCCACTCACTGTCTCTAAACTAGTGGCTGCCAGACACTGGGCATGGCCCCTGATCTCAGCTCCACACTCTTCCCGGGAACACATACTAGCGGCCCACTTGCCCTTGGCTATCTCCCTGTCCTCCTCTATGCCCTGACTGCGCTCTGTCTCCAGGATCAAGGCCAGAAAGCTCTCTCCCCCTTCGGCACCCACAGTAGATTCCGCACTATGTTAGGCCTTAAAACCAGCTGCCTTCCGATAAGTGGAAATGCATGACGGCCCTGTGGCTGACAGAGCAGACTTGCTCCATGGGGCTTTCTTTGCTGTCATACAGCCCTGGTGGCATCAATGGTTACCCATTAGGCAGCTAAAGGCAAGGTCAGCAGTTCAAAACCACCAGCCACCCCACAGGAGAAAGGCAAGGCTTTCTACTCCTGTAAAGAGTCGCCGTCTAGGAAGCCCACCTAAGCAGCTCTGCCCTGGCCCCTCCGGTTGCCGTGAGTCATCATGGCCCCACTGGCAGGGAGGTCTTGGGAGGCATCTTGAGGAAAGCAGATACCAAGACTGTCTTCCCCGCTGCTGCCCGGTGGGTTCAAACTGCCCACCTGCTTTCAAGACCTCTCTTCTTCCCCCTCTATCGCCATGGTCATCACCCTGACGAGAGCCCGGTCCTCCTCCAAAATGACAGCCGCCTCCTCACTGAGCTGCTCAAGGTGACTCACCGCCCTGCCCTGTCCTCAGGCCTCTTCTGGCAGCACTAAGTGACCCTTGTCCCTCACCCCTCGGTGGCTAGCCCATCAATTCTAACCGCGTCCAGATCAACCTCCTTTAGAATCCAGGGGGATTCAATCATGCTTTCCTTTCTCATCAGTAATCCTCTTCCCTGAAACAGGTTGCAAGGGTGCCAAGCTTGGCTGCACCTCCAGAACTTTCTCCCCAACTCACCCACCCCACCTACCCAGAGCCCACCCAGCTGCCCAGTCTGGTTGCTTTCTCCCAGCCCTGAATGCTCCCTTGAATACGGGCAACGAGGGTTAAAATGGACATGTCCTCGTTTGGGGCTTCAACATTTAACCTCCTGACACACCTGGGTTTACATCCCGTGGTTGACACAAGTCAATCTTAGAACAAGTCCTGACACAAGCTACCTAACCTCTCTGACCCTCAGTCTCCTCCTATGTAAAGCAGAAACAAAAACAGTAACTGGAATTGATAAACCAATCAACACCATAATTAAATGAGAGGACACATCTCTACTAGTGTTTGCTTCACACTCAAAAGTCACCAAGCTCACTACCGGGTCCAAGCTGACCGGTAGTGACCCTAGAGGGTAGCAGGACTGCCCCTTTTGGTTTCCAAGATGGTAACTCCATAGGAGCAAAAAGCCTCATCTTTCTCCTGCAGAGCCAGTGGTGAGTTCGAACTACCGACCTGGCAACACATAACCCACTACACCACCAAGGTTCTCCACACTCGAAACTCTGTGCACGTGCACCCCATCCTGTTAGAAAGACCCATAACTTCATCTCCCATCCCTCCCATACCTGTACGCCCTTTCTGTCCCCTCTAACACCCACCACTGGTCTGGGGGCGCAATAGGTTGTAAACCAGCACTCGAACCAAAGTCGACTGCCCTTGTGCCAACTCCAAACACAGTGACCCCAAAGATAGCGTTTTTGAGGCTGTGAACCTTAAGAGGAATGGAGAACTCCATAATTCTCCCCCTGAGCAGCTAAGCACTAATACTTCCTAATTAGCACCCAGCAAAGTGTTTATTTTTAATCTTATCACAGGCGGCCCGCACTGTTCAGCGCCTCAGCCACATCGCTCGTCCGTCAGGAGGTTTGTTCAGATTCATGACATTCTTGTCATTGTTGCCCTGCCTTGCTCTCGAAGCCCTAAAAATAGGTGCTCTGGTTCCCTCCCTTCCTGTGTGGCACCCTCGGCGAATCACCCTGGTGCTGACCTGAGAGGGAAGCAGAGACACCCACAGAGGCCAGCTACCCCTCCCTAGAAGTGCAAAACAGTGAACACAGGGCTCAGGGCGCCATTCCCAGGCTTTGCACAGGTAAGCTGACCACTGTTCAGAAAAGATGAGGACATGGTGTGGGTTTATTTTTTAGCCACACTTTTTATTCCAAAATTAATGACCTTTTTTTTAATAGATAATCAGAAAAGATGCCGCCTTAATTAGCAGGGTGTCACCAACAGCACAATTGTGCGTCCTCCGCTCCTCTCTCTTGACTTTCCCAAGACCATGGCTACTCTAGCTCTTCAAACATCAGTGACCAACCGATGACAGAGGTCTACAAAGTGTTCTGGAAACACAGGAACTATGTCTCTACTCAGATTGGGGGGCAAGACCTCAACGAGTCCACCTGTGTTGGCTTGAAAGGATCCGTGGAGCTTCCCCAGGGGGTGACTGGCTGGGGGAAGGCATTGAGGCCAAGGAAGGAGCCTGGCAAAGAGGAAGGGGGGTAAATGCAGGGGCATCTGAAGAACAGAGAGGCTGTGGGCCAGCAGGTATGCCAGCCGAGGGCCCGAGTCCACCCGTGAGGCTGGGGAGGAAAGTTGGGTTGACACAGTACATTGATTGGATGAGTTAGAAAAGTCCGAAGGGCACCAGGGGAGATTTCTGGGCAGGGCAATGGCATCAGACCTGTGATTCAGGGCAGTGACCGGGAGGGTCTTGTGATGGCCACACTATGAGGCAGTGATGGGTCCAGAGGCTTCAGTCAGAGTTCAGGCAGGAGAGGATGAGGGCCCGAGCCTCCGTAGGGGGGTGGCGCCTAATGGACTGTGAAGCTGAAAGACAGGGAGAGCCAGGCAGAGGGGACAACTCTGCACCTTCCAGACCAGTGGTTCTCAACCTTCCTCATGCCGCGACCCTTTCCTACAGTTCCTCATATTGTGGTGACCCCCCCAACCGTAAAATTATTTTCGTTGCTACTTCATCACTGTCATTTTGCTATTGCTATGAATCGGGCGACCCCTGTGAAAGGGTTGTTCAATCCCCAAAAGGGGTCGTGAACCACGGGTTGGGAACCACTGCTCTAGACTGAGCTACTCAGGGGGTGGTTATACCTCATACTCTGTCCCCATGCATCTGGCAGGGGAGGCTGGGACAAGTTTCGGCAGATGTTCAGACGAAGGCAGACTGGAAAGAAAGGCCGGGTGATCCTCTTCTGAAGAACCAGGCGGGAAACACCCTGCGGATCACAACATCAGACTCCGCTCTGCATGGAGTCACCACAAACCAGAGGGCGGCCGGAGAGCAGCTCACCAAAGCCTTTCCCGGAGCTCCAGCCCACGGGAAGGAGACCCGGGGAGGAGGAGCGAATTCAGTGTGAGCTGAGAACACAAACTTTCCCCCAAAGGCTTCCTTCCTCCCAAGACCAGCACCACCTCCAGCATTCCCAAACTTCAAGAGTGGGACACCTTTAAACCCAACCGACTGCTGCTGAAAAGAGACGTGGGGAACTTCCTGAACACCACTCCGGAAAGGGCAACTTGCATGAACCGTGTTCCTTCTTTTCTGAAACCCTGCCAAAGGACAGTAAAGACTGTCTTGTTGGTTTTCTGTTTTTACAACCTAAAACCTTCATAACAGAATCTGGGAAGCTGTGGTGCAGATGGCTAGGAGCTAAGAGCTCAAAGACGAGTAAGAAAAGCTGACAATAAAAAGAAAGAAACAGAAAAACTGAGGAAGCTGAATCCTAGGGCAACAGCAGGGAAAGGCAAGAGCCAACCTGGGTTGCATCCAGAACTTTCAAAAGGCTCCAGAACTGCCACCACAGGAGCTGCTGGAAGTCAGGGTGAGACAGGGTGATAGTGAAGAGGAGGAGGAGGAGGGCGGCTGAGAGTTTGCACAAGGAGGAGAGCCCAAGACCCTCCTCTGCTCCACGCAGCCCACCGCCTGGCACAATCTCACAGATACATGCTCTAGAGCAGGCCTCCAGTCTCTAAACAACAGCTTCAGAACTGGGACAACAAGCCTAATGGAGAACCAGGGGGAATCCTGAACACACAGCGATTCAGAAAATCCTCGTGTGTGTTTATCCGCTCAGCCCAAATTTTGCCAGAAACTACTCAAAGGTATTCCAGGCCAAAAGGACTTATTGCAGGGAACTGAACCAAAACTAAACCACACCCACTGCCATCAAATTGATTCCAGCTCATAGCAACCCCGTACAGGAATTCTGAAGCTGTAAATCTTTTTTTTTTAATCATTTTATTGGGGGCTCATACAACTCTTATCACAATCCATACATACAGCCATTGTGTCAAGCACATTTGTACATTTGTTGCCCTCATCATTCTCAAACTTAAGCCTTGGATATCAGAGCTGTAAATCTTTATGCAAGGAAATAGCCTCAGTTTTCTCCCAGGGAATGGCTGGTGGGTTTGAACAGCTGGCCTTGTGGTTAGCTACCCAATGCCTACTCCACAACACTGTCAGGGCTCCTCCATGCAGAGAATTGGATGCTTACAAAATCCCTGCAAGAGCTCTAACAACTAAAGGCAGGGAAGTGACCACTCAGGTTCAATCTCCAATGTCTCGGAAACTGAACCCGTGGTCCCTGATCGCACACCACCACAGGGCTCAGAAGCTGCCAGAAAACCTCCCCTCTGCTACGTTCCAAAGCAAAGGCACCGGAGATCACAGGAGAAAAATTCAAGATACTGAAACGTGAGATTCCTCAAAGGAAGAACGCAGTGATCACCCCACAGCGAATGTCACAGTCAACATCCTCTCGTAATTATCTAGTACTGCGGTAACACAAATGCCACAAACCGAGAGTTGTTCTCTTAACAGTTTAGGAAGCTAGGAGTGCAAATTTCGAGTTCAGTTAGAGGGGAAGGGCCTTGTCTCCTTTCAACATCTATGGGCCCAGCGTCCCTTGGAGATCTCTAGATGTCTTGGCATCCATCTTGATCCGAGTTTAGAAGATCCTCACTCAGCCAAGTGACCGAGGGTCCAAAGAAAACCTCTGTTCTGGCTCTTCTTTCTTGGTGGTTGGGGTGAAGTGGAATGAATTACTTATGGCTCTTCTATCCATTTCCCTGTAACTCCCACCAAATGATGGGGTGGGACCATGCAAATAAGGTATAAATGACTCTAGCTCAGGGAATGGTCAGTTTTCCCATCCCCCTGGATATAAATAAGAAAGCCCTCTCAAAACCAGGAAGAGTGGATCCCAGACAATCAAGAAAGAACAGCCACCAGCGCCGTATGTGTAAGATCCCTGCCTGAGAGGGAAGAGGCATCAGAGGCCATGGCACAGAGACCAGGAGACAGTGCAGAGGAGCCGGGCTGCTGAGATTGTAGTGTGGCAAGCGGGCTTGCTGGCCCACAGAGACAGAAGCCAAGGGACTGAGAGGTGGAGGACCAAAGAGAGACTTGGCCGCTGGCTGAGAAGTGGCAATGCTGTGAACCAATGACTCTATCATGAATGTTTTCTGATGCAGTCTTGTGGTAACCTGTTAACGTCCCTAACAAACTCCCATAACCATGAGTATTGTCTCTGTGGCTATTACAAGGGATTTATCAATACTAAGAGAATAGAGTGCAATGGGAAGAAAGGATTGCTGTCAGAATAAGGTAATGGAAGGAGGTGGAGGCATGCCTGACCTCTGCCTTGTGGCAATTAGCCTTGGGCTGGTGGGGAAATGGATTCCCGTCCCTACTGAAGTCAAAGGAGGTCTGATTGGCCCTCAACACTATTGTTGCAAAGATAGCTAAACACCCTCCTCTCCTCTGGTTTCTTTCACATTTTTATCTTGCAAGAGATGGAGGCCATACTCCAGGGAGCTCCCTTATAGAAAATTGGGGTTGTGACCTAAAGTTGTTCCATTTCACCCTAGTCCCCTTCCAATTAATTGGCTAATCACATCAGATCACATCAAGACAGATGACTGCATCGTAAGCAGAGCTGCCAACCAACTGAGAATCATGGTCCAGCCAAGCTGACGTATATTAAATTCATCACAATGTCCATGTATACAGATACCAAAAAAAAATGTAGCTTCCAATTAACTAAGAATCCTACTTAAAGTTGTCTGAGGAAGGTTTCTAACATGAAAGACAGTGATTAGAACCTTTTTTAAAGTCAACATGGAGAAAACAAGAAACAGGGAAAGAAAACTTATATACTAAACTTATCGTGAATACCTTCAGATCCAAAAACCAAACTCATTGCCATCCAGTCAATGCTGACTCTTAGAGCCCATAGAGTAGGACTTAACCAAACCAAACTCCCTGCCAGAGCCCATGTCAACTCGTAGAGACCCTATAGGTCAGGGCAGTCCTTCTCCTGTGGAGCAGCTGTTGGTTTCAAACTGCTGACCTTTCAAATCATAGCCCACTGGTAGCCACAACACTACCAGGCTTCTTTAAAGCAAGAACAAGATACCACTTTAAGAAGAACATTCAGAGATGAGAACAGGTAATATTAATATATGTAGAACAGAAATTAAAAATTAAATTTAAAAGTTTGCAAGAGAAGTTAAGAAATTCTCCAAGAAATCGGAACAAAAATATAGAAGTAGAAAATAGGAGAAAAGAATAAAAATAGGTCTACTATCTATCTATATGAGGAAGTTCTAGAAAGAAAAGAGAGAAAAAAACAGGAGAAACTCATTTGGAGAAATAATTTAAGAGCATTTCCCATAGCTAGCGGCTTGCGAATTAAAAGGTTTATCAACTTCCCAGGACAACAGATGAAGAAAGATCCACATCAAGGCAAATTATCTCTAAAATCTGGACCCCTATGGGCAAAGAGAAGAGCCGCAGTGGCACTGTGAGATAAGAGTGGGGCTGCAACTGAGAGGTGAGTGGTCCAAACCCACCGGCCATTCCATGGGAGAAAGATGAAGCAATCCGTTTCTATAAAACTTCACAGCTCCTGAAGCTCTATGGAGCAATTCTACTCAGGACCATCGGGTTGCTATGAGTCAAAATTGACTTGATGGCAATGGAACTTTTATGCAGATAGAAAAATAGTAGTTGGGTGATGTAAACAATTAACTTACTGGTAGCGAAAAGATTGAAGGTTCAAGTCTAACCACGTAACCTTAGAAAAAGAGTGGTAATCTTGGGTGAGTAAGAAGGAAGGACAATGGGCCACATATTAGGACGATGAATCAAAATAGATTCCCGACGTCTCAAGAGCAAAAATGGAAGCAGGGTGTCAGTGGAGCAACACTTCAAATTCTAAAGGAAAACGTCGAACCTGGGCTTTCATACCCTGCCAAACTATCACTTGAATAAAGTCTTTCTCAGACTTACAAGGTGTGAAAGCACCATGGAGACCATCTGAGCTCCGCTGGCTACCCAAGATTGGAGAATCCATCTCCTCACCAGCCCCAGGCCTCCTGCCATGAGGAAGAGCTCAGGCATGACTCCACAACCCTCCTTCTTTCTTTGCCCTAGTCCTAACCTAGTCCTCCCCTTACATTATACCTCTCTACTGTGTTCCATAATGTGTGCAGTGGCCACACAGAACTCAAAGACAATACTCACCATTACTAGGGAAGTTAACAGGTTACCACAAGCCAGGATCAGAAAATATTAAGGTTAGAGTCACTGGTCCACAGCAATACCTTTCCCCAACCATCAGTTATGTCTCTCCAGTGCTCAGCATCTCAGCCATGTGGTCCCTTGGCCTCTGCCTCTGTGGGCCGGGAAACCAGCCCACTGCTCTGCCTCACAGTCTCATAGTCCCAGAGCGGCTCCTGCATTCTATCTCATGGTCTCCCTGTCTCTCTGGTCTCAGCCTGGCTCCTTCGCTCTCTCCCATGATCTCAGTCCCACAGGCTCTGGTGCCTGTGGTCCTGGACTCCACCGCTCCAGGCAGACATCTTAAATGTGCCCTGCTGGAAGCTCTTCTTCCTTTACGGTCCTAAGATTTCTCTGTATATGTTTTAGAAACAAGCCAAACCCTCCAGAATAAGATGCAGAATCAGCATACACCCCACCTTGTTGCTGTTGTCAAGTCAGTTCCAACTTGTGATTGTGACTCCACATACAACAGAGAGAAATGTTGCGCAGTCTTGTGTCATCCTCACAATGGTTGTTATGTTTCAGCCCATTGTTGGAGCTACTGGGTCGATCCATC